CTAAGTTAGGCCTTGTGAGTTTCATTGTCTGAAGTGGAGGAAAACTCTCGCCCCGACCGGGAATCGAACCCGGCTCTCCGGCTTGACAGGCGGCAAATCCCTTTCATCTGTTTCCGTAGTGTAGTGGTTATCACGTTCGCCTCACACGCGAAAGGTCCCCGGTTCGAGACCGGGCGGAAACACATTATGTATTGTATGGCTTCACATCTTTATATATACAGTCTATGCTTCACATATATACTAAACTCTGCAAAAGATAGTTATCAGCAAAATAAATGGAAGAGGGAGCCCTGTTTGAAAAATGCCAATATGCCGAGAAGTTATTCCTTCGTTGTCTGCTTCTTTCAGACTACGAAGGTGCAGGCCTAACGCTATGGACTTTGGAAAGAGAGGAGACATTTTAAGAAAAATCTAAATTCAACACATCTGGAGAGGCATGGTCCTGTAACTTTTATTTTTCATGACATTAATTCCACAATGGTGAGTATTTGTAGTGTTTTTGTTCTATGACTCTAGAGTAAAAGTAAGAAATAGCCTATACATGCCTCCCTCTGAACTTCAACTGTAAAGATTTGTATACAGTCCACTGCTACACTTTCTAACTTGTCTAATTAGAGCCTAGGTGTTAATTTTCACATGAAAAGCATGTTGAGTAAAAATGTTTTAGTTGATTTTAGAGCCCCGGCTATCATGGCTTGTGAAATGCAGCGCTGCCAATTTAATATTGTGAATGTTATTATTGTTGATTTTTGCTAATCAAACTTTTGTTAAGTATCATTTCAGTTTCGCCTTACCCACAAATGCTCATCAATGACTTTGGGTCACATAACTAAAGAAAGAGCGCCCCCGAAACACCATTTGGTGAAGCTAGGTTTCTTTTTCAGATACAAGTCGTGTTTCTCGCTTGAAGCCAGGAAAAGGCTAGTCTCTGTGACCTTTTTACCTGTGCTGGACTATGGTGATCTGATCTATATGAATGCACCTGCCCATTGCCTGATCAAGTTAGATACCGCCTTTCACAGTGCGCTGAGATTTGTTACTAACTGTAAAGTATTAACTCATCACTGTACCCTGTATGCCAGGGCAGGTTTGCCTTCACTAACTGTTCGGAGGCTCAGTCATTGGTACATGTTTATCTATAAAGCCATGCTGGGTAAACTACCAACTTATATCTGCTCTTTGATCTCACAGAGAGTGGCAAGTAGCTATTGCCTGAGATCCCAGCAACAAACTGTTCTCTCTGCTGCCGTCTGGCAGGCGGTACCGCAGCATCAGAACAAAGACTACCAGACTCAGAGAAAGTTTCATCCCACATGCCATACGAATATATTAAACACCTGAGCTTGAACTATTTTAATTTTTTTTTACTATTTAATTTTATTCTTATACAAATGTATGTCTTGTTATTGCACCGTTGCAACGTTAAGGAACCTCTTACTTAAGTTTTTCATTCATTGCATAACTACACCGTAGTTGTGTATGACATGACAATACATCTTTGAATCTAATGAATCTCATTGATAAATGGTCTTTGGAAATGAACAGTTGTATTCCTCTTTAAAAGATCATATATAGTCTTAGAAAAGGATCTAACACCTTTCTGAAAATCTGGCAGCCTTACCTAGAGTATAGGTACATCAGTGACGCCACCATAGGTATGTGATCTGATTAGCCAACAGGCTTCTGCAGCACTATGTTATCTCTTTGTGTTTCACTCTATGACTTTTGTTTGTCCTATGATTTGTTTATTTGGGTGAGTGGGAGGGGCGATGCTTTGTGTTTTGTGTTATGTATAGTTGTTATATACACCTGAAAATGATAAATAAAATATTCAAAAACAAACTAAACAAATGCTCATCAATCACGTAGGGTCACATAACAAAGGAAAGAGCGCCCCCGAAACACCATTTGTGGCCAGAAATATATTACATCCGTAGTGATAAGAACTACCATAGAGAATGAATGGTAAAAGTTAAGGAAGTTAAGCCTTACTGTTGCCGTGCAAGATCCGCGAAAGGTCCCCGCTTTGAGACCGGGCGGAAACACGTTATGTCTTGTTTGGCTTCACATATATAAAACTCTGCAAAAGATAGACTCAACACACCTGGAGAGGGATGACCCTGTACCTTGTGTTTCTAATGACATTAATTCCACAATGGTGAGTATTTGTAGTTTTTTTTCTTCTATGGTCCTAGAGTAGAAGTGCCAAATAGGTAGCACATAGTTGCCTCCCTCTGAACATTTCAACTGTAAAGATGTGTATACAGTCCATGAAGGCAGCAGACAAACTACTACACTTTCTAACTTGTCTAATTAGAGCCAGGTGTTAATTTTCACATGAAAAGCATGTTGAGTCAAAATTGTTGAGTCGATTTTAGAGCCCCGGTTATCATGGCTTGTGAAATGAACAGTGTGTATGTAAGTTTAATATTGTGTATGTTATAATTGTTGATATAACTTTTGTTAAGCATCAGTTTCATCTTCAAGGCAGGGCCTGAAACATTGGAAGTGTCTTACACCCTTCAAAAGTCATTTTCAGAGGGTGGTTTTAAAGGGTGTTGTGGGGTTCACTATATATTACAAGCAGGTGGTTGAATATTCGCCCTGACGGGGACTCGAACCCGAGTCTCCCGTTTGACAGGCGGCAAATCTCTTTCATCTGTTTCCGTAGTGTAGTGGTTATCACGTTCGCCTAACACGCGAAAGGTCCCCGGTTCGAGACCGGGCGGAAACACATTATGACTTGTTTGTTTCCACATATATATAAAATAAATTAATAGTAGATAGTAAGGCGTCATTGATTGAAAAATGCCCAAATATTGAGAAATAATGTAATAATTGACAAGAATATAATTTGGTGTTCATGTCAATTATTAGACAGATCGCTATCTGTCCCTTGATTTTCTGTTGAACACAAATTACTGATGCGTCCTCGAACTCAGCATTAAAGGGGCGTCAACATGCACGTGAGTTGCTGTTGCTTTTTGGCGGCGTGTTGCTTATGAAGCACCTCGTGGGGAGTTTTGGTCAGAGACAGAGACACTTCATGACCGCATCACTTCTCCATCTTTCAAACCACCGCGTTGACCGGCTTGTGCTCCGGTCCTCGGTAGGTATGCTGCTGTCCGCATGTTGTGCAAAAACCTAGCCTTAGCTTTCCTTTGAGGGGGAGGCTAACATTAGCATTGTGCCGCCTCGTTTTCTCTATATAAACTAAGCACAAAAAGTAAGGAAATGTGTGTTTGTTAGATTATTTCTTTGTTGAAACAATATTTTTTTGGCAATACATCTTATACCGTAGGAAAGCCTGTGTATGTATATATATATGTGTATGTATATATATATATATATATATATATATATACCTTTTTAAATGGTGCCACATTTGTGAGGAACATACATTTGTGGGATCGGCCAAATCTTTTTTGTTTGGCTGTTGACTGCTGTTAATGATTTAAAGTTACAGATGTATTTTTTATAAATAAATAACATAGTTGTTCAGAGTACAAAGTGACCAAAATGTATTAACTGATATTAAATATAATTGGTTTGGTCGAGGTAAAACATGTTATGATGTCATTTAACCATATTGCAGTGAAGATCAGAATCATTATCAGGTTTAATGCAGTTTTTTTTCATAAACAAAGATTTTGCAATTCACATTTTATATAGATTACTAAATGTACAATCAGGTTTATTTAGAATTATGCACAATATGGACCAAATTGCAATGAGTTTCTAGTGATTGTAAAACACTAGAATGAATCTTCAGAAATTAGCCTGTGAATCCCACAGCTCCAGTATTGAAAGGTTTGAGGATGTTAAACTTTACTAACTCAAACATGTTCTGTGTTTGCCCACAGGCGGAGAAAAGGTCACAGTGATGCAGTACAGCAGACAATGTCTACACTCAGCATCTCTGAAGAACAAAAGAAGTATCTGGATTTTAACTTCAAAGGCTGGGAGTTGAATCCACCTCTAGGTTTTTGGTAACAAAAGAGCACGTCACCCAGCTCAGGATCTTCCAGTTCTCATTCATGATGGCATAGGAAGACATGGTGCCGGACGACAGCACAACCTTCCTAGCCACTCTGCGAGTGTGATCTGACCTCAGTGCCTGACCAAAGGTCCCCCGAAGCAGCAGAGTAAGGAGCTCCTCCTACCGCTGATACTCACGGACCAGGCACTCCACCAGGTAGTGGGAAGAGACAGAAACTCCACACCAGCCATCACCATCCGAGTATCCACCAAATTTAGCCGGAGTATCTTCCTGTCTGAGGAACCCAGTGATAGTCCTTTGGCCGTAGACTCCTGCCTCAGCATCCCTGACATTCTGCACACACAGCAGGTAGGCCAGATGAGCTCTCTCATATTTCAGATTGAGCGCCTCCGTCAGCTGCTTGGACATGTCCTCTGGTGATCTGCCGCCGCGCCTCATCTCATCCAGGACAGATTTGCAGACCGCCTTTTTGTGAGTCAGGAAGGCCGGCACGATGTTGCTGAAGCGCTGGGGTAGCTTCTCCAGCCACTGGGGCTTGTCAGCATGCCAGTACTTTTTGCAGACCTTGCAGGTTTAGTCGCGAAGCTAAAATATAGTACTGGCCGCTTGTCCCAAGGATGACTCTTGGCCTTCCAATGCCAGAAGAAACTACCCGAGGGTTCGGACAACCATAGAGACAGGGCAAAACAAAGTTGTTTCTCATCCTCTCCATGATCGCATGCTCTGGCTTCCAAATAAAATATGGATGAAGCTGATAATACTTGGGTGAAGGCAGGTCTGAGATTGAGTCTATAAGCTCAGGCTGAGGCGGATAACGCCACAGGGACAACATGTTCATAAGGTGTCGCACTGGAGGTGAACCTGGCCACAGACCCAATGTTTCCAACTCAGTCTTCATCCATATTTTCTGCTGGTGGGAGCAGTTCCAGTGGGCAACATCCTGACTATAGCCCGGGACAGAGGCTGCAGGCTGGTGTGGTGCTGCTAAGGGGACAGGAGGCGCTGGGCAAGTCAGAGCTGTAAGACACAGTAAAACACCACAGTTACATCAGATACAATTGAATAAAGCTCTATATAAATGACTGCTATAATACAGTGTCACAGATATCCATACCTTCATCGAGGACAGTGTCTCCCTGCGCTTCCACAGGGGCCATATTATGTGGTGATGAATCTGGGATGATGAGATACAAACAGGCAAGTGATGTATACACATTATACATCGAAATTAAGAAGCAGCATTTAAGAAGTTGTGAAAAATGAAAACAGAGACGATGATATCATTACTTAACTTTACCTAAAACCTGAGCACTATACTGTATGACACCGTGACAATGTGATTTGTCAGAATGAAATTGAAGTTGTTGTGAGATACACTGGTAGTATAAGAAGAACACATACTTTGTCTCAACACATTTGGCGCCTGCTCTTCAATCCCGAGCTTTGGGGCAATGGCGAGTAGCTGAGGAGGGACCGGCAGCGGGGCCTTCACTGTGTCTGAAGGATGAAAGGCGAAAACAAACATGAGGGTATATATACATAATATGTATGAAAAAGATTCAAGATGGATCCAAGTGAGGAGTATAAAAACCCAATAACCTTTCAGAGGAGCAGGTCCATCGGGTCTGGACACAGTGGCAGTGGCAGTTGGATAAGTCCTGTGGGCTGTAGAAACAATCCTGTGTCATGTTCCTCAAGTGTTAAGTTGTTTCAAGCTTCACAATCTGTCTTTACCTGTTGTCTCTTTAACAGAATTAAAATACCCCGTAAGCCACTGCAATATTTCAGTCTAAAAAAAGCATGCAAAAAAGGAAAAACACTTACCATCATTGCTGACATGTTAATTCCTTCAGTTAGTTGGAGAACAGAATAACACAAGCATCAGAACAGACCAGAACACGGCCAAAATAACAAACTAGTTGAGAATAATAATAGCAGGGAAAATCTGTTGGAAACAGAGTTATCCCTCCACACTGCTGGAGAGAAACCTGTTGGTGTAGACACAGCCGGTGCTCTGGAGACTGCTGCTGGTGGCCCTATAAAGCACAGGTGACAATGAACACAGTTTTAACATGTACAGTAAGTTTATATAATCACTGTATATCTAACTGGATCCACCTACTTCGTTCTTATTATACATCCATGGGTCCGTTACGCTTACCAATGACGTCACGCATTGGCTGTACGGTAACCCAAGAGGACATTTTACACGGTCAAATTCCGAATGTATTGAAACTCCAGACTCAACGTAAGAGCTTGAGCCTCTTCGGGGGATGCTAACATTTAAACATACACTTCATTCTTTACTTTGTCCGTTATTATATGTAGATGTTGTTTCCATAGCAACAACTTCAAAATAAATAAATCTAAATAGATGTGTGTTCTACACACCAAAATACGTTGTTTGAACACCCCTCTCGATCGATTTACAACAACAAAAATAGTATGGCCCGCCCTCATACACCAACGCAGTTTTTAAAGATATACATTTTTCAACACAGAATCATTTACCAAATTACAGAGTCAGAAAATGCTATCTGTTCATTGCAGTTATTGTTTATTGAATTAGATTACCATGAGCTCAACATAATTATGTAGAGTACAAGTCCACAGCCAAGAAAATGTTATTTGCATATCATTTTATTTATGAATATGGAATTATGGAATTCTAACACTGGAGTTTGACGAAGGTACGTTTTAACCGTTTGTTTTTTAGTTCTAATTGAAACAACAACAAAAAACAGAAACGGGTCGTTTTTTTGTTTTTCAATTTTGCCCCAAAACCAAAAAACGGAAATTCAGCTCGTTTTTTCGTTTTTCTGTTCTTACTTTTAAAACAAGTATACCACTCAATGTTTTGTTTATTTTTTTTTATTTTTTATAAAACTTTATTTTAAATTATTTGGCAGTACATGATATACACAAGTTACATTAATAATACATATAAATCACAATGCATACATATATAAATAACATAAACAGAGAGCACGTCCATATTCCAGCGAGGCTTAGTTCGGTCACAGCTTCAAAATGCTCCATGGCAGAGTCTGGGATTTGTCTAGGGTTTTTCTTCTCCTTAGTTCAGAGATTATTTGTTTCACGATGGTGCCACTGTTTATTATCGTCTGATTTAGTATCATCTTGCACCTTGTCTTCCAGATTTTCATACATGTTATACAAATTACTAACTGAAAAAGTTCCCTGTGTTTTATGACCACCCTCATCCAGAATACAATACATGATTGAGGCATATTCTACGTCGAACTCCAAACCGATGCCCCGTAGGAGCGACCACACCTCCTCGGCTCTGTGGCAGTCCATGAGGAGGTGCTGTAAGGTCTCATCTTCCTCACAGTTTATCATGGGGCATGTTTTAGTTTTCACATAGCAGCTCCATGAAACCACAGCTCTGACTGCAAGTCTGTTAATCGATATCAGCCACCTCACGTCTCTCATGCTCTCTGAAATCTGTTTACATTTCACTAATTTCAGGACTTCTTTACCTTCGTCAGGGTTTAGGTTTTTGTATGTTATAAAACCTCCATATTTGAAATCATTTACCATTTTAAAAATCACTCTATTCTGTAGTCCGATCCAATCAATCCCTAAATGTTGAACTTCAGTTGTGAAATCACCATAAACTAATTTATAATATGGACTATTTCTAGCTCTGCCTCTTCTTTTGTTCCATCCCTTTTTTCCATCCTCGACCCAAGGTGCTTTCCTATTTATAGCAGCCGAGATGTTTTTAACAAAGGTAATTTTTAGTTTAATGTCCAGGTCTATGGCTCCCAGGCCTCCATATTCCCTACTTTTAAATAACAAATTACGTTTAGTAACCTCCCTTGTTGTACCCCACACCAAATTGACACACTGTTTGTTTAGTTGCATAATTATTTGGGCTGATGGGGGAAAGATGTTTGCTAGAAAAAGGATCTTGCTAAGTATGAATGATTTTATTATGTTTATTCTTGATTTATAATTTGTATTTTTATTCTCCCATTGTTTAACTTGTTCTTTGACTTCACTTAGTTTGTTCTCCCAATTGAGTTCAGCACAGTTGTCGCTACAAATAGTTATTCCAAGTATTTTAATTTCTTTTTTCACTTGAATGTTGATGTCGCGTTTGGTATCGTCGGCGCCGATCCAAACACCTTCAGTTTTGTTATGGTTCAATTTAGCTCCTGATGCCAATTCATATAGGTTTAGGTGATTTGTTAGAACATCCATTTCTTGTTGGTTTTTTATAATAACAGTGACATCGTCTGCATAGGCGATGGCAGTTGTTGGCAATGGCAATGTTTTGTTTCCATAGGTGGGTGGGTCTCCAGTGCCTCCTTGCTTCTGATTGGCTTGTTTGCCCTATGCTTGCGCTGTACTCTTCAAAATAAAGGTTCATACTCTTTGCCTTTACACAGTGCAAAAACGACAAGCTTCTGCTATCTTTGATGAGCGATAACATTAGACTGATTCTATAATTTAGGGTGCATTTCACATCAACAAAACAGTACAAAGAAAGTGTTCTTTCTCAACAGAACAATCAGTGGTTCAAGTTAGTATATTCCTCAGTGTAACATATCCACTAGTTGCAAAGCTTAAACATGTCCTGCACTTCAAGTAAAATCAAATTTGAAAGGCTCTTGAGTCTATTCTACCATATATCCAAAGATTTTTTAAAGTTTAAAAAATAATTGTATTAAAGTTTTGTTTTTTCATGTGATATGTTCAGCACTGTCATTAAGTTTAGGGATATTTTGTATTATAAAACTACCATACAGGTCATTTTGATAGTTTTAAGAGATGTCATGTAAAACTCCAACCTGTGTAGATATACATTATACTATAAAGGATATCAGAAGCACTATTTTAGATATTTTAAATTTGAAAAAATGAGGTGCAACATAGTTGACAATGAAAGTCAAACATTTGACGCAAATAACATAGTTGACTGGACACATTATTAACCATCAGCACTATGTTCATTTCAAGGCAGAAGTTCAAAATTCCATTGATAATGATGTGTAATGACGTCTACATGTCATACAAATTGTCAACTAGGTTACCTGTCAACTAAGTTACTACAGTTATTACAGTACTGGGTAACTTAGTTGACAGGTAACCTAGTTGACAATTTCCCTATTTTGACCCATCATTTCAATGGTAGGCCTTGCCTGGATGACCACATGTCATTTTCTTGAACAGGTTAACATCACATTTGAACATATAATTGAATTAAAATTATTAAACAATTGTAAACCATAACAATGTACGTAACATTGTTGATGGTCAATTAAGATACTCATTGACAATGTGCTATTATACATAAAATATTGTAAAAAATTAGAGGACAATCACCACAGTGTGTTCAAAATGTCTGCCAAAGAGGAACATGGCATCATGTGATGCTGGTGACATGGTATTGGGACAAACCATTTTTGAGGGGGGAGTTCTGTTAGTAACATAGTTGACAGAACTTTTGCGGACATTCATATATTAAGATATTTAAATTATTTAAAGGAGGAAATCAATTAAAAAGATGTTATTATTCTTTAGTATTTAGACTTTTGAAATAAATGAATAATTTTTTTTATTTACTTTAATGGTTTTTATTCATTATTTTGAAACCAAGACACCCTCAACTGAAAAACGGACATAGCAAAAACTGACAATTTAAGAACATCATGACACATTTCAAGCTAAATAAAGCATAGGATGCACATAATGTTTGTGTGATATTATAACATGCTTTCCAATAATAGGCAAAATATGATATTTTTGAAGAAAATAGTTAGAATAATTATAATTATCATCAATGGACATCAATGGACATGGAATGTACCCTAAATTGTAGAATCACAGATTGATAACATTATTTTTGGCCATACGTTTTTCATAAGACTGATGAAGTTGGAATCAGTTGTAGTTACAGCTATCCCAAATACTATGAAATACTTTTACTGTGTAGTTCTTGATACTCTCCTGTCAAAGTCCCCTCCATGGTCTTGCTGCTATATGTGACGAGCAATACAAATACTTTTAAGTTCGATAACTGATCATTTTGGACTCAGTAGTAGACTACTAGCGCAAAGACTATAAAATACTTTTATTTTGTACTTTCAGAGAAATCCTCTGTCAAATTGTCCACCCTGAATACCTATTGAGTTGGCTTTTTCATTACATTTAAAATATAAATTGTACCTAAAATAATACGGAGTGAGCAGGGTATACATATTCACACCATATGCAATCATAGGATATTTTTAGTTCAAAAGATATTTGTCCAAATTGACTAAAATAGTACAAATGCAAAACATAAAAAAAGAAAATGTTTGGTGAGTGAAGTCCAAAGCCGTATTATAGATTATTTGATTGTGTAATTACAAGGTGAGAGAAAATAAATCCACATTGTCCTATTAAACTTGTATTTTTCAATTTGTTAGTACATTTTTCTCAGAAA